GCGAAAGCGTGCCTTGCCTGTCTGTCTCTCTGCTTCGTAGCAGAAGTTCTATATACAGGGTGTCCAAATTGTTTCCGACCAAACTTCGTCAGTCTATGCTACGTGCGTAGATAAGAAGAAAATGTTATATGAACATAGGTGGTTTGAAGCTTCGTTGAGAAGTTTTAACGAGAAACATCGCAATACGACACGAAGTAGGGAACTGATCAAACGTTTATTTACATGTTACACTCGTTGTATGTACCGACGATGTTTAGTCGGAAAATAATTGGAACACCCTGTATATGTACGTACATGCATATAGACCAATGATGAGAAAGAAAAGAACATAGGAGGGAATCGTCTATAATGGACGGTGTATAACGCACGCATTTTCTAATGAACCAACCGTGCACACACACGCGCGCGCCATCTCCTGTATAGTTGTCGCGTACACGATAATTTGTCGCGACTCCGTCCTTTTGCAGGATGATCATTATTCCAGAGCCGTGGACAACTAGGTAGCCTTTCCAGCTACCGCTTCTATCCGCACCGCTCGTTAATGAACAAACCATCAATCAGACTCTTCCGGTCGGTGGATACTGTACGAGAAAATGGTATTGCGGTTGTTTCTAAGGGATTTGGAACGTCGATGGTTTGTTTTGGTGTTTTTCTTTTCGTTTCTTTTAAAGGGAGACGGAAGGAGCTGTTGTATCTTAGCATATTTGCACGACAGAATTTTGGAAATATCGCTTGGAACCAAAGATATAAATTTTCAAAGGACACTTTTTTTTTTTATAGCTTTCAAAGACGCCAACGAAGTGTATCTGGACCGGAAAGAAAAATTAAGTGCGTTGCACTTTGAACCCGAGACGAGAATATATCGCGCTTGGGAAATGTGAACTTTCTACGAGTGTGCTCCTACGTCGGATAACGAGGATCCCTGCAACTTTCACAGTTCAAATCCTTCGGACTTGCTGAAACCTACCGCGAGAAATTCTCTCGAAAAATGAATCCGTTCCTTGCCTCGTCACACCTCAATTTCCTTATCCCCGAAGGCAAACATTTTTCCCACTTACATTGAACAATTTCCTGACATCGTTCATTCTAAAAGCCCAAGGAGGATATTTCTGTTGGAAACCAGCCTTTGTGCAGCTGTTTGAAAAAAGGGGGATTTCACAGGAAAGGAAATGAACAGGTAATTTTGGCCGACCGTGTACCACACTGTCTCTACACGTGTGTGCACCTACATCCTGGTGGTCACGGAATCGAAAAAGAGCAGGATGGTGTGACGTCACAAAAAGAAACAACACACGGAGTCATCGTGTGCTTCGATTGTGAAAACGCAATCTATCTCTCTCTTTCTCCCTTGGCAAGCGCGCGAGTGTTGCGTTTGTGTGATGGAGAATTTACGTGGGTAAACGTATAAGCTGGCTGCAGTAGAGTGGTATATCTCGACTGATAATTACGGAAGGGGCTCGAGCGAACTTCCGCTCAATAAAACCTACCCGTTGTAAACACTTGCCTCGATCCCCACCTATGTGGTGTTCACCTGAACAAAAGCAGCGAATTTCGTTTCACGAAACTTCCACACGAACTGGTCAACTTGAAATTACCGACTAAGGCGGATGGACTATGTTCACTTCACGCAAATTTAACATTGATAAGATAGTTCTTTCTGACTGGGGAATAATGGAACAGGTATAATTGCACCTATAAGCTGAAGTATAAGTCTTTTCGTGGTTAATAGTACTCTGTATAAATGTAGTTATAAACCACCCTGTACAGATGACCGTTATTACATACACCTTTTATACGATAAACAATGACATTTTTGTGCGATTATTTTCGTTGATTATGAAAGATCATTTAGCCTACCTAACATATTACACTTATTGCGTATAATTAGTATAGTAATGAAGATGGAAAAATACAACGTGTTCTGATAGAACAAACATAACCTTGAAATCTCTTGTGCCTTCACTCGCTGTTTTCCAAGTTACATTCTCCGCTGCACGGTACGATCAGGCTTCTTTTTTTCTTTCTTATTGCTAAACGTAGAACGGAAGTCGGCTGGAATTTGAATATTCGCGAGACGACGAGCACAATTTTCGTTTTCCATGTACCGAGAAAATAAGAGAAATTGGAAACGAAGTTAGGGCTTCTTAACTTCCACCGACCAGAGAGATTCTATACCGAGTCGAATGAAAAATAATAATAGCATAAAGCAAAATCCGTTACGTCGATACTGAAAGTAACGTATTCGAAAATGAAATTTTAACGGGGGAAGAGAAGTTCATTCCAGATCGTTTTACAAAATATTCAAAGGTAAAATGATTGTAATACGAAATTAACGAGCTGTATTTCGACAAACGTGTTCTACAGGGCGCATGAGTCACCGGAAGTTCGCGATATTTTTAAAACTTTCATTACCTGGGAAACCGTGTATAACAGTTTTATATTGTGTTAAACTGCACGAATAATTAATACGATCAGCAATTTCCTGTAATTGAAGGTTATGACGCTGGACAATGAAATAAAGTAGTCTATCTAGGTACGTATACACGATTGAACTATTCTGAAATAATTGATCATTATAAAATACAAATACACCAGTTTTCTACTACTTACGAGAAACTGAATTTCTTTTATGAATTTTTTAACCTATATGAAACGACAAGTAGAAAAATAGCATTGCTAAAGGCATCGAAACATCGAAAGTGATACTCTGAAGTATCCCAAGTAGCGATATCCAAATTATTCTATGATTATGTAAGCTTAGGACGATAATAACCAAGAATTCAGAAGCAGCAATTCCCGGAAGATTCGGACAGCGGTACAAAACAGAAGTGTCAAAATAACTGCACTGACCTGACTGCCACTCGGTCGTGAAACATTCAGGCAACCAGCAAGCCGGTTATTTTCAGTATTGCCGCGGTATCGTTTCCAGTGGGCAGCCTCTATTTTCGAGCCCCGACAGACGCGATTCACGCTTTTGTGAATCGCTTCGCGGAAACAATCGAAACGGAACGACGTCGTGCCGGACAAAAAGTCGCTCGGCAGGTTAGAAAAACACAGTCGGTCACAGTGCTGCCAAATTGCGACGCTAATATGAACGTAATTTAGTGCGCATGCGCCAACAACCGAGACTTCGGTCCGTTTTGCAAAGAGAATTACATTAACTGTTACGTATTTACGATTTTCTTTTGCAATTTCTGCAAATATACACATGTGGGAAATAAACGAGTATTTTGTGCGAAAAACTGCGGCCATTTACGTAAACGCTTGCACACACGGGGTTACTACAAAACTACGGGCAATGCAATTGGATTGCTATCTTTATGGGAAATGTGAATTGAAAGAAGGCCCGGCGCGCGAAACGTGATATTTATTGGCGTGTATGTATTTCGTAGTAGACCGGTGATATATGAAATAGTAGGGATTTGTGTATAGTTTCTTTTTCTTTTATTTTTCCTTTTTAATTAAATACGATAAAGAAGAGTAAATCGATATTTTGACAAGTTTAACGAAATATTATTAGACGATAGTTACAGAAGAAATGATTAAAACAGTAATCGATAAAAGGAACATACCTTCCGCAATTTCTCCAGTTCATTAATATCCGCGGTGGATGGAACCGCCTATAAAACAGGAAACACGATATTACACACAGGCACGCATAGAAAATTCATTAATGAAAAATAAGACCGTACACGAATGTGTATTTTACATAAATTAACTTGTAAATATTTTAATTGAATTACTTCTACCATTATACGGATAACGAGCTTATAACTAATAATCAATACAGGGGATAATTTACATCACGAATAAAAATAACGCCGCCATAACTAGACCAGAGACATAACAAACAAACTATGCTTAGCAACATTCGTCTGTATCAAACAAGAATATACTTGTCTACTTTTAATAAAAAAAAAAGAAGAAAAAAAAATTATCAACGATTCCGGTAGTAGAAAAGTTTATTTACTTCGTTGGTTTTCCAGAGGTTTGCGTTGTCCTTGTTGTTGCAAATATTACTGTTTTCAGTGCTCGTTACTTTATCTTCGAAATTCACGAGGGAAAAGAAATTGTTGTTATTGTTGCCATTCGTTTCTGCCTCCTCAGAAATGGTGTTATCTAGGAGCTCGTAATCCAGCGATTTCGAATCACGACAGTTGGTCACGAAGGAACGCGCGAAGCTGCTTTTGAAAAAGTGTTCAAGTGACACTTCACTTCCAAGAGCGAATTCCACTCTCGGCGTGTCGCCCATGATTATTTGCAATGTCTATTTCTTCACTGGCCGTTCACAACAAAAATTAAAGACTGCCTCGCTCTTCCAGTCTGAATCGAGGTTACTCCCTTTCGAGGTGTAACCAGGGGACTAAATAACCAGGTGGAAGAACATCCCGCGAACATCGAGGAACGACACCGTTGACCGATGATTACGATAAGAAACGATTTTATGATCTTTATTACTCTCACGATTTTCACTTATTTTCCACGGACGCGTTGTAGTATACGTCGACATCAATGGCTGTATATTTCTTTACACGTAGAATGATAAACTGTACTAGGATTACTTATTAATTACTACAGATATTAAAGATTAAATAGATGGTATCGTACAAGAGAGTATCGACCACGAGGAAACCTACGACACTTCATACATTCGATATACACAGCACGCCTGTGCGTGTCAAACTGACAACGAAACCATTCGGCGGTACGAACTGAAGTCTAAACTCGAGCCTCGTCCACCAAACACTGGAACTGGAAGCGCTTGTACAGATTCACATGTTGCACATGCGCTGACCTATAAACTTCTCGTCGATTGATCGCATAATTATGTTCTCTTTAATTTTTTTATACAAAAATATTGCAGATAAACTGGTTTGCATTAATATATTTCAATTGTAAATATATATAATTACGATATGCAACGTGCGATAAGTAAAGCGAATTCATGAATATTTACTTCTTTAGCAGAGAAAAATTATTAAATACGTCCTGAAATGGTATTATAAATATTCCAATATTAGTGTGCATTTATTAAAATATAAAATAGTAATTAGATGTTTAGAATATTAGTTAATTCCTTTAATGTATTGATAGATGGCACCACAAAATTTGATACAGTAATTTACTATCAAATTTTCCACTCTATGTTGAATTGTTGATTTTATGCTTCTTTATTGTTATTTGAATTAAAAGAAAATAATAATAAAAGTCTGTCTAGCTACCTTCTAGAGATACTTAGTACTGACATGTTATATTTGAAACATATAGGATATGCCACAATTTGTATCGAAAAGTTCTATAAATAAATATGAATATATTATGATACCTGTTCATTTTTTTATACCTATACTGGAATTATAAACTAGATACAATTTTACGTAGATTTTAATACAGAGTTTATAACATTAACTAAAAGGGTTATTCATTTAATCGTGCTTAATATAACTTAACCTCCAATAATCAAATGAGAACCAGTTTTTTACGTGACAGAACCGTAAGCTCATGTGGCTCTAACATAACCTGCATTTGTATAAACCAAAAATAATTATTCGAATCAATTTAAACATTTAAAGAGATGCCCCGATTACCATTGCACCCAGCATCCGGAACTGGTATTAATAGTGTATGGAAGAAAAGTATACGATTTGTTCGTTATGGATGCGCCAATAGACCTTTCTTTCATATTGTTGTTATGAACGTAAGTTTCGGCAAATAATTTTTAAATAATCTGCTCTGATCATATTTCTTCTTAGATTTGTCAAATAAAAAAATATTTCATCACAAAACTACGTGTATATCATTAATTTATTTATATTTCCATTCAGTTTTTGTAGAATAAAATATTTAAAGCACAATAAATTGTACAGATTGAGATACTCATGTTCTCATGAATGAAACTATTATTACAATAAAAATTGCTTGTAAATTTATTAACATAAAATTTACAAATTTGATAGTAATTAATTTTGTTTTAGACAAAACAAGGGCAGCATAATCCACCGATAGAACAATTGGGTAGCTATGATCCTATGGCAAACAAATATAATGAAAAATTAGTTTCATTGAATTTTGAACGTATAGAATATTGGCTAGGACAAAATGTGGAAGTATCTAGACCAATAGCTGCAATATTAGGAATTGCAGGTTTCTTTCCAATTCATCCAACATCATATATGACAGCATGGAGAAAACGCAAACGTGATGAAGAAGCTGAAGCAGCTGAAGCAAATAAAACATCTGAAGCAGAAACAGAAGGCAAGGCAGAAATTGCAGGCTAACATATTTCAATTATTTTATTTATATTACATATTTAGTTTGTAAACAATATACACATTTAAATAAAATTGTTACACAAAATAATACATCATATTGGTTTGATATTATATTATTAAGAAATTGGTAAAGCCTAATATATAATACATGTAATAAAATGAAAAGGAATAAAATATATTACATTTTAATTGCAGTATATTTTTAATATAATTTGCTCACAGAATTACTGTCTTATAAGTACCGTGCGCTAACCGATTGCGCCACTGGGGAGTTGTACTCTGCACTTTCTTATTTTCACCCATAAGGTGTCCATAAAAAATACTGTTCAAATAAACGTTAGTTCAAAAATACATCTCAATATATATATATTTAAATCAAATCATATTAAATCAAAAACTGCTTTTATTAATTTCATGCTTTTAAACATAACCTGTATACAATGACTAAAAACAACATAATAAGGATATCTAAAATAAATGTTTATTATTATTTCGTTGTAAACATGTTTTTATGTAATCAATTATTTCCGTACAATCAGTTAACAGTTTATTACGAAAACTTCATATTGTTCTGCTCTTAAAATTAGGATTACTCGTTACTCCTCACTGTAGTCTATTTCAGATGAAGTATTACCTTCGTATGAATTAATAGCAGAACAGAGTTGACTCCATAAAACAATAAGATTCTGTTTTGAAAGACTTGCTTCGCAAAACTGTTCTAATAAATTTCGATTGTTTTTTGCAAATGTGGTTTCTAAAATAATATCAAAGTATTATGTGCTGAAATGAAGAAAGTGTTATGCTTACAATTATTACCTGCTTCGGTAGGGTTTATGAGAAAATGGTGTTCAATGTGCCAAGTACGTTCTAAAAACATTAATGACCAGTGAAATATCAAATATATTTTCTGCAAATTGTTAGGTGAATGAATATGTATAACAATTCCACCATTTTTATCGGTACATTGTTCATAGCTTGCATATTTTTCAATTTTTAATTTATTTAGCAGCCTTTGTCTCAACACATTTTGCTCATTATATTGTGAGATTGCTAAAAAACAAATCTTTACTAGTATACTTCACTTTTATTACATAAAAATGTTATAAAGTTTATAAACTACCAGAAGTAAGAAGTGAAAAATTTTTCATTTTAGTGATCTTTTGTACCCATGTACCAATCTCCAACATATAACATTTGTCAATATGTATAAAATGACATGTTATATCGTCAATTTCAAACTCTATTTCTCCCTAAAATAAAATATAGTATATGAAATAAATTACTTTTTTATAGGTATATTATTATCTTGTTTTATATACCTCCAACTTCACTTGTAATACTACGTAGATTTGTAAAACTTTTGTTACCAAAGTAGTTGTATATTGATAAATGTTATTGTGTAACCATTCTCTTTCAGTATTTTCAAATGTTATGCCAGTGATTTGTTGAGAAACTTTATATAGTATATCGTATTCTGGCAACATTTCTTTTTTGTTATTATTATTTGTTATTGTATCAGGTCTGTAGCAAGAGTAATAAATATTAAAGTAATATACTGTCTAAAGATAATCATGTCATATTAAGAAAATCATACAATTTCAGTTTAACAGATTGTTGATCACTTCCTTCCTGCTTGTTTAATTTTTCAAGTAAATTGCTTGCTTTTACAAGGAGCTTATCTCTTAAATCTTTTAATGCAATTAGTTCTTGATCTTCCATTATCTTAAAATAATATTTAAAATTGAATACTTGAATGTGTGTTCAAATTTGAATACTAATTAATTTTCTTCTGTTTAATATTTAACAAAATTGAAAGATCAACACAATTGTTAACAACATCCTAATTCAAATGTTTGTAATTGAAAAATTGGAAATTAAAATCAAGTTGCAATTAAAGAATAAATTTATAATAAAGGGTCGGTGTATAATTTACAATTAACGTAAATATCACTTCAAAGTTTTTATGTAATATTAACTTAATATTTTCGAAATTAAGCTACTTGTAGTTCCTGAAAAATTATAAATTAAATTTCAAGAAGATCACGCGCGAAAATGACAAGTGCGGATGTTTGTAGTGGTAACTTAGTTTGGACTTGTAATATCAAGATAACCTCAACTTAACAAATAGTTGTTCATTGTATTATAATGAACGTATGTAAAATATAACATAATTATAATTCTGATATGCGTAATTTACATAGTAATGGTTTCTTTATTTTAGACACAGTCTGAAGAATAGTGAAAATTGTTGTACTGATTTTATGAATCAACTATATTCGTATTTTTTTACAAAAAACTTCGTTCAACTACGAAATAGATAAATTAATGAAGAAATTGTAATATTTTAAAGACAACAATCCTACAGATTGCAAAAGTATTACTAAAATGGACGATGAAACTTTAAACAGGTGAGTTAATTGTATTTCTTTACAAATGTTTGGTTTTATTATTTACATATATCACGTAAATAATTTGACATCTTTATAATCGCATAGTAATAAAAAACCAAGATAACATAGCATCGACTATGTTAAATTTTGTGGATTTATTAAACCAAGGAGCTTTTGACACTGTACTCCAGGAATTGAACAAATGTAAAAAATGTAATTTTATTTTCAGGCTTGCAGTTGAAGCATTGTTGGAGGAAGCAAAGCTTGGAGCAAAAAGAGCTGAAATAATGGGTCCTAGTGGATGGATAAAACCAAAGGAATCTATTAATAAAAGATTTCTTCATTCAACATTACGCAATGTTGTTCTTTCAAATAAATATCAGTTGAAAAGAAGAAGTGAAAAACAATTACATAGATCTGAAAGTACTTTAAAATAATTGCAATCACATGAATTAATATCTTTTTCTTCACAAACTAAAATTGATGGGAGTACTTCTACTTGACTTGCATGCTGTATCATCTGTTTTATGTTTGTATTATTAATATATTAAGTTTTTGTGATATTTTCTGTTTTTCTATTAATTAAGACTTAAATTATTTAAATCTATTCACAATAATTAAAATATTGAAAATATAGATATACCTTTAGAAATATTGAGAACTGTAATTAATATAAGATTTGAAAAATGTAAATAGTTCAAAGTTGATCTCCAAGTACAAAAGTATTGTGTAGTATAGGTAATAAGCGTAATGTAAAATGTGCGATGTAAAATATAGAATAGGACTAAAAAAATACTAATAAACAATAAATAAACATTTATTTTCTACATTACACTTATAAATGTTCACACTATTCTAATATGCTAGATAGGTTAAATGGTTCGTAAGTTTAACTAATATATTATACATAAGAACATGCATTTTGATCAATTTTTGTATTTGTACATTTTAATCATCGCATTAATATTCCTTTTTCCTCTCATAAATATTAAAATTGTAACATGGTTAAAAAAAAAAAATAAACGAATTTTTATGGAAATTGTTTTGATCAACAATTTAGGTAAAAGAGAAAGTCAAACCGACGATTTGAATCTAAACGATTAAGTAAATAATATATTTGGTTAATGAAATAAAAATTAACATATTTTATAAGTAAGGAATAATTTTATTTCCCATAGAAATACATATGTATGTTTCAAGATAAATTGTGTCTTAAAATATACAAGTTCCCTTTTATCTAGAAATATTTTATTACCTAACAGATTTAATTTTAACTTATGAAACAAATTAGGCAAACTAACAATTCTCTTAAACTAAATTATAAACTTAAGTAATTATGGTAAAAGTGCGTGAATTATACTTTAATTACTCTATTCATCACCGCAGTACATAAAATAGTAAACCACGTGGTAGATTCCGATATACCTTCCGTTATCAGAGAACGTTGGTCTTTTGCGTTTAGAAGAGAGGGATTGAGCTTCGTTCCACGTTTTTATAATTGTAAAAGAAGATAATTCGTATAATATATAAGAGTAATTGGGTTAGAAAACCATGGCAATAAATGTAAGAGGACTTCGCAGGCTAAACATTAGTTTTGCAACAAATGTATTGTTCCAATCTAATTTTATAAACGGTATGTAACGTTTTTTAACCTAAACTTGTACCAAATACATTTATGTTGATATAATAAGTTTTAATATTATTATAATGTAAATTATCAGAGAGAATACTGATATAAAAAGTCAATTTTTTCATAGTTTTATAGTGCATTTTGAGTTACATTCATTTTTTTGGTCTTTAGTCGGTGTCCGGTCTCTGTACACGGACCGAGATATGGGTGTAACAAATTACGAAAATACGAGATTCATGTTTCGGAATCAATATATGTCGATAGAAGAAACGTTTCGTTCTAAAATGAAGGAAATTTGTAAACAAGAGGATGGAATAATATTCACAGAAGATTTAAAGGCCATGTTGCACTTAGCCCAAGAAAGTCAGGAAGATATGGAGTTATTAAGTAGTATGTTAGAGAAGTATGTTCACCACAAGGAAACATACAAATATAATGCATATGTGTTTGGACCAGTAGTAATGAGAATGCTTTATTATTTGAATAAACCACTCGTTGCTTTGGCTATGTTTGAAAATACACAGCTACGACATACTTTTGAATATCGCTCAAGCTGTCGTATTTTATTATGTCTGCTATTGAAACATAATATGTTCAAAGAACTTAGATGCATATATGACGAAATATTGAATCAGAAAGGTCAGGACTTTATTGGACGTAATAGTGTTCTAGTCTATGCTGCATGTTTGAAAGAGGTAATTATTCCTTCACTGACTTTATTTACTAATTCTGTATATATTAATTCATATTTTTACTATATTCTTGTATAATTATTTTATTAGAATACTCCAGAATCATTTGAATATGGGCTAGCTCATTGGCAAAATGAGATTGCATCTAGTAAACCTTCTGCTAGATGTACTACATTGACAGCATGTTTAGCAATAAAACAAAATTCACCTGACACAGCATTGGAAATGGTATCCCTTTTAGATAAAGATCGAACTTTAGCTGTCAGGAGTTTGAAAATTTTGGCATATATGCATATGGAAAAATATCTGCAAATCATTCCTTTATTGAAATATGTAATAGAGCAGAATGAAAATTTTAGAAACGTTGTTTTTGGCGATGTGGTATGTGAAATAAAGTTTGATTGTTTTTAATCTAGTAAAATAGAAGTAGGATTATTAAATAGAAATTTTTTGTGGAATATCGATACAATACTTGGTTTTATTTTTATATTACAGATATACCAACTTGAAGAGAAAATAAAGGAGCAAAATTTTCCAGAAAAACAGGACTTGGAACATTTAATAAATCGGCTTAAAGCGACTGAAAAGCTTGACACACAGGTAAATTATTTTAGAAACTTCTTAAGAATTGATAACTCTACTTTGAAATTAATATATAACTCTTTTTCTTATTTAAGTGCACTTTGGAAGAATATTTATTCAAACCCATGATGATTCAACACAGAGATAAGTTACAACAAAAAGATTGGAGGGTTAGAACTAATTGGCGGCACACACACAACAAAACAGGATTGAAGGATTATTTGTAATCCACTTCATTCACAGTTGTTACATAATAAGTTAACTTTTAACGGATTTACCCTTAAGGTACAAGGAAAATTACTACTTTCCATTAATAGATAGTTTAGTTTATTTATATTATCGAATGTATAAATACAGTGTTCATCTGCGCTTTGTCATTATAACCATTGTATTATACCTAATAAAGAAATAATTCTGACGAAAATATGAAAAAACAAAACGTGCAGTTTCTCTCACGTACAGGTGTTATATTCCATTCGAATTTTTGTTTATAAATGTGTAACATTAACCCTATTCAGATTTTGATCCGTTAATTTTGCATTTATTCTAAAGTCACTTGTTGATATTGTATTTACTGCTATTTTTTTTTCCGTTCACGATACATAATTATTGCTGTTAACAGAAGCTCGTTACTCAAATCCGAAATGAGTAAAAGTACATTAGTTGGAAAAAGATTAGAAAAATTAACGCATAAAGAAGTGAACGATCGATTCGACTTTGATCTCGAGAATTGAAATAATTCATATGATATTGATTTAACGGAAGCTTTCTCCTATAAATTCATAAGGAACAAGTACGTTTGGTCGTGAATGATATACATTTGCCAAACGAAAGGGACACAAGATGTAAGAAATGTAGTAACTTATAAGACGTATACCGATATACGGGTGAATGTATTAATTGACTGTATATATTTCCAATGTATTTCCAAGCAGGGAATCAAGGGGGACAGTAGGTGGGACATGGTAGGCGAGAATTAGTGGCGCTCGTGGTGGTAACTGTACGAAACGAAGGAAGAAAAGGACGATGCATAGTATCAGCCCGTTGCGGTAGGGGGTTTGGGGAAGTCGAATGACGTCATGTTGCTAAAGCGACGCGGCAACGCTAAGCGTCTGCGTGGGTCGACGAGTGCCTGGGCCAGGATCAATAGCGTGCCAGCAACCAGGTAGTAGGTGTGAGTGTATGTAGGTTTCTGAACGGTGGCAGTCCAGGAGACGAACCTTCCGAGGTAGGACACTTCACGAGTCGAGTAGAGTTCCAGTGTCGTACCGGAGAGCGCCATGCCAGTATCACTGCATCACGGAACCCTCGTTGCCTAGGATTATCAGCTTCTCCAGGTAACCGTATTTCCCGCTATTCTTCTTATCCAGACGCTTCTAGCTGACATTAGTATCACGGAACGATAACTTCGTGTCGAGCTTCGTGTCAAGAGTGTTGTGTGCAACAACGATTGAGCCACCACCCACGGTCAAACATTTCAAACGTTCAATTGAAACTCGGTTTTGCCAAGATTACCTCGTATAATTATATTTTCTATCTTAGTGTTGATTCCCTTAGCGATTAGACGTAGCCAGACTGATACGATCAGTTAGATTTCCTGGATTATTACGGTCGAATAGAAGTTCGAGTAAGTACAAGCTCGGAATCGATAGTATAAATCGGCGAGTAGAATCTGTAGAGGCTAATCGTAGGAGTAGTACAGGTCAACGTAAAGAATGTCGAGGAAAACGGGGAATCAGCAGCAGATAGAATACCGAAAGGAGATGGTGGTTCGTGGTGGGGATCGTGCGTAACACAGATATGGATCCCTTGACGTCTGCATGAAAGTTGGTTAGCTGGTTGTTGCAAAAACATCGGCCACCTTTTTTTCCGCGGTACGGTCGACTGACTCGTTACCTGTGAACCTCTCTCGGTCGCGTCACACAGATTCCTCCTATTGATATCGGAGAAAACTGCTTGCTACTGGTTACACGTTTCATGCTTGTTACATGCAATTTAAAGAGAGAGAGAGAGAGAGAGAGAGAGAGAGAGAGAAAAGGAAAAGAAAGAAAAACAAAGGAAAGAAAGAAAGAAAGAACAATTATTATCCATATAGAAAGAAACTTGTGTAACGAATGATAAAAATATTATTTCACGATTCTTTTTTCTTTCCTTCTTTTTTTTCCTTTCTTTCTTTCTTTCATCACGTCTTCCGAGAAACTCGAGAAGTTAGACGTGTGTCATCGAAGAAGTCGAGTGTATTTCACTTGATTAAAATTAACGCCAGATGGGGGTGTTTAGTCGCGGAGGGAAAGTAATTACTTAAAAACACGTCCGCGCATTTGCTTGATAAAGAAATTTGTTCACTCTCTGCTTAAGCGCTCTCGAGAAATAAGAATGCAAACACGTTTCGCGTATATGTATATATCACACATACGCACGTCTTCTCCCGCGATTTGCGTAATTAAATGGAACGCGCGATATATCGTATTATTCAATCGACCGTTCCATTTACCGTCTTCGAGGAACCAGAGACGAATATGTGTATCCCGATGATTATACAGATTCCACAGATTGTATTAGTTTGCTCCGTGAAATTTGCGAATTAATTTTAATTTAAAAAATAACTCTTTCTTCGACAACTATCGCGCGTACATGTATATACACTTACCGACAAATGATAAGAAACAAAGCAGTTGCTCGGTAATTCTATAACGTACGTTTTATTTTTTCACTTCTGTATGCTGTTAAATAAACAAAATACGAAAGGTATATCATTTCTAGTGTAACTACATAAATATATGTATACATTAAATCTACCTTAGTTTGATAGATACAAGCGTGAGAAATGAATACGACCGAAATTAAACGAGACCAAAAGTGAAGAAACATTTATTTTACAATAAGTATAGTTGAATGTAAAAGAGCAAATTTTTCATTAACAGATTAATAACGTATCGGAAATCCCTTGAATCGTATTAATGCCTGACATCTTGACGGCATTGACTTTATTAATTTTATACAAAGTTTTATCGGGATTTCGGACCATATTTTTGTTATTTTGTGCATCAATTCACATTTGCATTTTTAATTGTCGTGCAACATAGTTCCACACGTGCTCTATAGTATTTAAATCTGGCGACTGACTCGGCTACTTAATAACATTAACGTTTCCTTCTGCTAAAAACCCTTTCGCCAACTTGGAAGCATGTTTAGGGTCGTTATCGCGTTGAAATGACCAATCCACGCACAATTTTTCAGCAGCATATGATTTTACAATATATTTTCATATAAAAATCTGTCCATGGTATCAATGGACCAGTACCGTTAATCGAAGAGCAACTCTATACCGTGATATTTCCACCTCGAAATTTCACCGTTCGTTTGGGGTATTTAATATTAAACCTTTGGCCAGTTTGAAATCATTATCGAAAAGATTGAGCCTGCTTTCATCACTCCACAAAATCTTTGCCCATTGATCGTCTGTCCAATTAATATGCTCCTTGGCAAATTTTAATCGTCGGCTTTCGGTTTTTTGGTGCTGCTTTACATACAAAAATAGATTATTTTCACGCACTCGACGACTTACAGTCTTAAAGTTTTAAGTCACTTTTTATTTGCGTAGTACTGTAAAATGGACGAATTTTTGAACATTTTATAATTCTACGATCCATCCTTTCGCTGGTTTCTCGAGGTCTACCGCTCCGCAATGCTGTTTTAACCCTAGAGCGGTCTTCGGGTCTTTTTTGGCCCACCGTCTTTTCATATTTTTAGTAATTTTTAGCGGTTATCAAGTTTACGTTCCTTAACATTATTTTGAACGTTTATTGTCTAGGTTCATATGTCGCGTTGGAAACAAAAATTGTTACACATAAGGTCTTAGGTCCTTCTTCACACAAAAGTCTTAAGTGTACAGTCAAAACGAAGAACGCAGTAGGGTTAACAGTATTACTTTGCTGAAATGGTTGTACAATTTTTGTTACTACACAAGGGTTCACGTTAAATGTTTTTTTAGCAATGTCTACTTTTTTTGTCCTTCGTTTGTTGTCGCTTCTGTTAAATAACGCCTACTTGTCATTTTTATGTAAACTAAACCGTTGTGTCACGTTTGATGTTATACACGTAACTGACCAAGCGTCAATATGAAAGAAAAAAAAAATAGGAAAGAGTCACTTATCGAGAGAGAAACAACATTGTCGATAATATGGTTTCTTAACTTTAGTCCGCAGGAAAATAGCCCGTTTCTGTTATTAACACTAAAACTACCGACCGGGTCAAAATGACCCATTAGCATCTTTCGAAAAAACGTGAATGTTCTGTACTGGTAAGTATTATCGCTTGTAACTTTCCGAATTTATATTCTACATGTATGCGTGAATTTTCCAATCACGGTTTACTTACATAAAAATTCACTTTCGGAAAGTCGCTAATGGGTCATTTCGACCCGGTCGGTAGTTTAGTGTTAAATACAGAATATTACCACTGTATGGTATGTCAGAAATCATTTTTATCAATTTCTAATCTACGAAGTCGTAGCTTTCTCGTAGTATAAATAATATTAACTTATTCCCGTTGTATAATGATAAATATTGACTAAATTATGTGGAATTCATTTGTTTCTTAACTTTTTATCATATATATGTAACGATTAACTAAGCGAGATTTTATCAGAGAGGAATTACAAAGTAGATTGCTTCTGTGACGAAAGAGGGTTTCCGTTTTGATGGAATTAAAAGATAAGGTTTCTCAGTTCGTTTTCTAATTAACGATGTTTCATCGAACGTGGAGGAGGGCTTTGTTGTTTCATCCCTTTTGATACCTATCGAACGGTGTTCAATTTTGATAATAATCGCACGCTACCACTGTCTATCGAGTGCAAGGCGATTTCATGCGTGTTTGAGCAGCGTAAAAACATCAGATAAGCGAGAAACCGTGACGCGAAAAGCAAGGACAGGATGTACTACCGCACGAAGGAAAAACAGGGTGTCCCTCTTAAATGGTGGTCGTGTATGGTCGCTCACACTCTCCAGTAGAGTAGGTCAATGTGCGGTCAGACGCTCGACGAGTAGAATAGGTCTGCGCATTAACGGAGATCTGAATCTGCAAATATTGTGGGATCGGGGGAGCCTCCATACCGAACCTATACGAGCAAGAACGATGAAAAATAGAGAGGGCGCGTTGGCGTAGTGCGCAGTGTCTCGGCTTGCTAGTCGTAGGGTCGGAGGTTCGATTCCCCTCTCTGCGGGAAGAAGCAGAGCTCTCTTTACTTCCAATTTTTCCTCAACTACGAACAATTATCCTTGGCAAATTTTTCTCTTCTCTCTCCCGTTTATGCTCTTAGCAGTGGTTTCAAATATTCCACACGGAGAAAAAAAGATATGTGAT